CACAAATTTGCATCATTCTTGCGGTTGCATGTTAAAATATTTGCTGATATCTAATTTGATATTTGTGTATTCTGACGCTAAATTTATTATCTGATGCAGGTTTGAAGTGAATACGGATATTTACCCTTGAATATTCATTATCTCAATATGCATTCTTGATGCGGATGTAGACTCATGTGTTTGACTCTAACTCCAAATTATAAGATAAAGAATAGGTTTGTTTCTAAAGAGATTCGAACCTTGGTCATCTAATTTTTAGAAACCGAAGAAATCTGCATCATGGAATTGTTTCTTCATTATTCAACAATGATTTTTGGTTTAGTAGCTACTAGCTAGTATTTATCATCTTGCTTGAACAGTTAAACTTAGTATTTTTTTTAAGCCTTATTTGATTGCTGAGATGAGACACGTAAATCTAGGTATGTTGCAATAGTAATCCCCTTCAAAGTCAAGAAGCCGAAGAAAAAGGTAAAAAAGTGGGGCAGAATGTTACAATCACTGGGGTTGGAACTGTTGTTGTAAACTTTCCGTTTTATCTGTCATCTCATTTTGCTTTCTTTTCCTCTTCTCTGCCGCAAACCAATCTATGAATACTTGGGGATTGAAGTAAAAAACCAGCAAGGGCAAGTGATATTTGGTTGTTCTTTCAAGAAATGTTATCCTGCACAGGAGAAAATAAAGTACTAAGAGTAAGTACTGTAGCTTGCGGAGGCCGCTCCAGGAGCATATACGGCGCCAGCAATGGTTGAGGGTGACTTACCACGATGAAAACCTGCCATTTCAAAAAATCATTTTCAGATGTACTGAGAATAACATGGGTTATCGATGTTTTAAGAGGTTCAAAACGCCAAACTCGTGAATGGTTGCCATATACCTTGCGTTGCAATTTTGATTATTTGGTGCTGGTTCATTTAAAGCATGGAAAGCCCAAAAAAAAAAAAAAAAAAATTGAAATAGAAAGCGAGGGCTAGAAGATTGCTAGGTAGGGGTAGGGTGTTCATTCGGTTAATTCGGTGGTCGAACCGATCGAATTACTATTTTCGAATTAACCGAACTTTTTTTTTCTTTAACCGTTAACCGAACATTTTTCAAAAATATTAACCGAACCGAATAAATTTCAGTTAATTCGATTAATTTTCGAATTAACCGAATTTTTTTAGAATTTTAGAATTTAATATTTTTTTAATTAAAAAAACATTTTACAATTAATTTAAATAATATCTAATTATAAATAATATCTAATTAATTTGATTCAAACATTTTGCATTTAGTTTTGATATTATTTTAATTAATTAATATTGATTTGAGTTTTAAATGGATTTTAAATAGATTGAGCCTCTTAATATAATTATATTTAAAGGTTAATTCGGTTAATTAACCGATTTCGAACCGAATTAACCGTTAACCGAATTCCAAAAAAATCATTAACCGTTCCCCGAACGAATTAATTCGGTGGCCGACCGAATTAACCGAACTAATTCGGTTCGGTCGGTTAATTCGGTTAAAACCGAATTTTGAACACTCCTAGGTAGGGGTTGACTACTAGTTTTTTTATAATAAAAAAAATTAAATTAGCTGAATTGATAAGTCTTATTTAATTATTTATATTTTATTTAAAAGCATTTTAAATTGAGTCAATTTTATAAAATTCAAGTCGAGCATGTCGAATTGAATTGTTCAATATTTTATTTTAATTGACTTATAATTATTTATAATATTTTGGTATGAAATTATTCAAATTTAAATAACTTTATTGAATCATTAAGATATATATATTTCTTCATATTCTTTTTAAAACGTATAAGTAGATTTATAATATTATTTAATAAATCAAATATCCTTTGAAATTATAAAATATATTTATAGTATTATTTTTTAAAATAAGAAATCTTGAGGATAAATTATTGATAAGAGTATAAAGGTGACAATAAATAGATGGAAACAAAGAATTTGTAAAAAAAATTACAATTGAATTATCTAAATGAAAAGTTACAAGATTGAATTGCAAAAAGAATAAATTTATTACCAAAAATAGAGGCCAAGTTACATAGGTGTTCTATGGTGGTAGAGGAGCATATGATTCAAAATTGGTTAAAGAATAAACTTAAAACGGACGAGGAATTAAAGAAATCGAGAAATCATGTGAAACTGAAAGACTAAATTGAAAAAGGAAAAAAAATATTGTCAAAAAGATAAATTGAATCAATTCTATAGTGATTTAAGAACATATTTGGTCAAAATAAACTTAAATCAAAGAAAGAAATGAAAAAACAAAGAAATCTGAGACCAAATCACGAAATAGTTAAAATACTTGACTAAAAACCAAATGACGTGATTTTAATTTTTGATTTTCGGATAATTCAATCTTTACAATTCACATTTGACTCGATATTAAAATTTGAACTCAAAACTTAAATGAAATTGAATATTTAAAAATAAAAAATAAATAATTTTTGAATCAATTTAAAAATTGGTGTGACAAAAACTGCGAGTGGGATTGAGTAAATAAACCGAGAAGATAGAAAATTTATCCGAATCAAACTATGTGGTTCAGTTCGATTCGAGTTTTTCATATTGCAGTTTGGTTTTAAAAACATCATTATGCAATTCGGTTCAGTTTCAAAATTTTCATATGAAAACCGTTTGTTCTAAATCAAACATAATTAAAAAAAAGAAAAAGAAAATAATTACTTAAAACAAATTTATTTTGAATCTATTATAAGATAAACTTAAATAAATAAAATTTTAAAATTAATAGTATTTTTTATGTATTTAATTTTCTATATTTGCACTCGATTTAAGCTTTAAATTTGTTTTATTTAGAGGTTGAATTTATAAAATAATAATTAATCAAAAATCGTAAACTTGAACGAACCGAACCGAATCAAAAAACACGATTTCTTATACCATTCGATTTCGATTTCGATTTCAATTTCTAAAAACTCGCAAAATACAATTCAATTTATATTTTATTGAAAATTTGAATTGAACCAAACTGAATACACTCCTAACTGGAGTATTGGTGTATCCATTGACAAGTGTCATTCTGCCATTGCCAATAACCCTAGCTGGCCAACTCAACAGCAAGTTTCTCATTCTTTGAAGCCATTGATTTTAGTTAGAATCAACAAACTTTTGTTGAAATTAGATTGCTGGGAATTCGCATGTCAGCCTTTCATTAATTGGTATATGATTTTAAGTAATACGGAGTTAATAATTCTTTATGAAAGTATTGGAGTTAGAAACTGACTTGTTACTTTTAAAAACTAAATCACTATATTATGTATTCTACACAAGTTTAAATAAAGGGTCGCTAAGAAAATTAGCCGTATAATAGTTTAAATAAAGTTTCTCTAAAAATATTCAAAAACAACTGTAATTTGATTAATAAAATCTAAAACTACACTTAAAATTAAAAATAAATGTTTTCCGACAATCATTTTCAATAAAACCTTTCTTTAATATAGTATATTATGACTGTCGTACATCAGAATTATTCAAGTTTACTAAATGGCAACTCGGCATGCTCTTTCCCCACATGGGGTATATCAGGCAACAGCTCTGGACCACCCAGAGTTATCCAGGTCTCTTCTAATAATTTAGTTGATGCTCCATAAATAAATTTTATGCCATCCATGAAATAAAATTTCATAAATAAAAGGGTAAACTACATGTTTACTACCCAAGTATTATTTTTGTTCTGTTTTGGTCACTAAACTATTATTTTTTTCCAAATCATACTCAACATTAAATTTTGGTTACATGTCGTTAAAAAATTAATAGAACTACTGGCGCGATATTTAAAAAAAATAATGATGACGTGATATTATCTTATGATGACACATCAGTATTATCATTCAATTTTTAACGGTAGATGATCAAAATAAAATCAAAAAGTAATGTCAAGTGTGATTTTGAAACAAAAATAGTTAAGTGACCAAACTAGAATGAAAATGATAATTAGGATATTAAACACGTAATTTATCCTAAATAAAATTAAAATACCAATAAATGTCCATTTAATATATTTTTAAATTTATTCTATAGATATTTGTGATGCAGAAACCAAACAATCTTAGTGATTAAGGAGATGGTTGTTATTTCTAGAGGTTTTAGATTCGAGCACGTTGTTTATATGGATGTATAAGTATTTATTATTAAATAATTAAATATCGAGTTAATTATATCACATGTCCTCAAAGTATGAAGCTTATTTTAAATTGGTCCCTAAATTTTTAAATGTTCTAATTTCATCCCTAAACTGTGAATATCATTTTAAATTAGTCCTCAACTTTTGAACATTTCAATTTCATCCCCAGACTATGACCTTCATTCTAAATTAATCTTCAAACTTTTTGAACATTCCAATTTCATCCCAAACTATATGTATATACTAATGGCATCCCTCATTAATAAAATCGCCAGGTCAAGTTATATTATTATATGTTTGAAAAAAATTAGGTTAAACTATGGTTGAAATTAGTTACATATGTGGATAAAATTAAAATATTCAAAAGTTGGGGATCAATTTAGAAAGAAAGTCATAGTTTAAGGATGAAATTAGAATGTTCAAAAGTTGAAAGACTATGAAATTAAAATATTCAAAAATTTAAGAATCAATTTAAAATAAAAGTTATAATTTGAAGACATATAATATAATTAACCCTTAAAAATATTTTGAACGAATAATATCTTAATTATCTTGTAATAACAAAAATAAGACATCTGTCATTATTTTAATACACAACTTAATAAACTTTTAGTTTTCATTTACAAATGTAACAAATAATGGTACTTACAGGTTTAGTATAAGATGGTATAATATTCCTTAGATTGTGCGTCGTACCAGTAGAGATAAGTTTTAAAATAAAGATTAATAAAAAAAAAGTGTTTTGAAAAAGAACGGCTAACATGAATTTTGGTAAATCGAACGGCCACAGATAAATGGCGGACATCACATGGCTTTTTCACAAACGGCATTACAGCATCACCACCATCTGCAATTTGCAAGTGAGATAAAGCATAAGAAAAACAAAAAAGATATGAAGAAGGAAAGAAAAAGAGGGGAGTCTAAATGTGGATCCTTGAGATAAAGAGAGGTCCATAACAAACCCTAGATTTTTTTCTTTCTTTCACAAAAGAAACCCCTTTCAAGCAACTTCCATCTTTCCTCTTGCTTTCGTATTTGGATACAAAGGGTTCCATTAAAAACACAACCTTTGTACTTCGAAAGGTTAGTTTCAGTGTTACATTCTTCTTCTTATTTCCCCCCATTATTTTGGAGTCATCTGGGTTTTCTATAGATTAAATTCTGATATAATATTCGTTTGGATTAGTATTCTTAGCATTTTTTTTAAATTAAGATCTAATTCATTCATTGATTTACTTTGTTTTATGTATTCTTGTTTATTGTCTATGTAAAGTTAATGTTTTGATGATGGATAATGCAGAAAATGCCAAGTTAAAAGAGAAATATTGGAAGAGAAACAAAATTTTTGAGGGGTCTTGTTAATAGTTTTGAGGTATTTTTGATTGATTCTTGTTGAGGGTAATAACTAAAGGGAGAGGTTAAAGATGATGTCAAGGTCGTATACCAATCTTTTAGATCTAGCATCTGGTAATTTCCCCGTAATGGGTCAGCCTCGTGAAAAGAAACGACTGCCACGAGTAATGACCGTTCCGGGGGTTATTTCAGAGCTAGACGATGATCAAGCTAACAGTGTGGCCTCAGATGTGCAGTCTTCGGTTCTTCAGGACAGAATTATTATCGTAGCTAATCAACTACCAGTTAAAGCTAAGCGTAGACCAGATAATAAAGGGTGGAGTTTTAGTTGGGATGACGATTCGTTGTTATTACAATTAAAAGATGGCTTGCCCGAGGAAATGGAGGTTTTGTATGTTGGTTCTTTGAAGGTTGATGTTGATTCCTATGAACAAGATGACGTGTCACAGCTTTTGTTAGATAGGTTTAAGTGTGTCCCTGCATTTCTTCCACCTGACATTTTGTCCAAGTTCTATCACGGTTTTTGTAAACAGCAGTTGTGGCCACTATTCCATTATATGCTTCCATTTTCAGCAAATCATGGAGGCAGATTTGATAGGTCTTTGTGGGAGGCATATGTTGCCGCAAACAAGCTTTTCTCTCAAAGGGTTATTGAAGTTATAAACCCAGAAGATGATTATGTTTGGATCCATGACTATCATTTGATGGTGCTGCCTACATTCTTGAGGAGAAGGTTTAATAGATTGAGAATGGGGTTTTTTCTTCACAGTCCGTTCCCTTCATCTGAGATATATAGGACTTTACCTGTGAGGGAAGAGATCCTAAAGGCACTCTTGAATTCAGATCTAATTGGTTTTCATACTTTTGATTATGCTCGGCATTTTCTGTCTTGTTGCAGTCGAATGCTAGGTTTAGAATATCAGTCAAAGAGGGGTTACATTGGGCTGGAGTACTATGGAAGGACAATTGGGATAAAGATCATGCCTGTCGGAATCCACATGGCGCAGTTTGTGTCTGTCCTGAGACATGCAGATAAGGAGTGGAGAGTAGGAGAACTTAAACAACAGTTTGAGGGAAAGACTGTACTGCTTGGAGTTGACGATATGGATGTATTTAAAGGTGTCAAGTTGAAGTTGTTGGCAATGGAGCAGATGCTGAAACAACACCCCAAGTGGCAGGGGAGAGCAGTTCTGGTACAGATTGCAAACCCTGCTAGGGGAAGAGGGAAAGATCTTGAGGAGGTACAAGCAGAAATCCAGGAAAGCTGCAAGAGAATTAATGAGACTTTTGGTCAACCTGGTTATGAACCCATTGTCTTCATTGATAGGCCTGTATCCCTGAGTGAAAGGGTTGCTTACTACAGTGTAGCTGAGTGCGTTGTAGTCACAGCTGTGAGGGACGGGATGAATCTCACTCCTTATGAATACATTGTGTGTCAGCAGGGCATATCTGATTCAGAGCCTTCCTCAGAATCAAGTGGGCCCAAGAAGAGCATGCTAGTTGTATCAGAATTCATTGGTTGCTCTCCTTCACTCAGTGGTGCAATTCGGGTAAATCCTTGGAATATTGAAGCAAGTGCTGAAGCAATGAATGAGGCAATCTCTATGGCTGATGCTGAGAAACAGCTTCGTCATGAGAAACATTATAGGTATGTTAGCTCACACGATGTGGCATTCTGGTCTCGAAGCTTCTTCCAAGATATGGAAAGGACATGTAAAGACCATTTCAGAAGACGCTGTTGGGGAATCGGTTTGAGCTTTGGATTCAGAGTTGTAGCTCTTGATCCTAACTTCAGAAAGTTGTCTATCGATCACATTGTATCTGTGTATCTGAGGTCTAAAAACAGGGCTATACTATTGGACTATGATGGAACAGTAATGCCTCAAACATCACACAACAAGACTCCAAGTGCAGAGGTTATCTCCATCATAAACACACTCTCTGGTGATGCCAAGAATACTGTCTTTGTTGTTAGTGGAAGAGGAAGAGAAAGTTTAGCCAAATGGTTTTCTTCATGTAAAAAACTTGGAATTGCTGCTGAACATGGTTATTTCATGAGGTGTGATGTTTTCTTTTGCTATTTCGTTTTTCTTTTCCATCTTAGTGTTTCATCAGCACTCATTTTGAGGATGTTTCAGGTGGTCCGCTGCTGATGATTGGGAAGTTTGTGGGCAGAATAGTGAATTTGGGTGGAAGGAGATAGCTGAGCCTGTAATGCAATTGTATACAGAGGCCACCGATGGCTCCACTATTGAAACCAAGGAGAGTGCTTTGGTCTGGCACCATAGCGATGCAGACCCTGGTTTTGGATCTAGCCAGGCCAAGGAGATGTTGGACCATCTTGAGAGCGTATTAGCCAATGAACCTGTGACTGTGAAAAGTGGCCAGTTTATTGTCGAAGTGAAACCACAGGTATCTACTTAATTTTTGTTTTGGCACTTGCTTTAGCATGCTTTTTATTGTAAATGTATTAGATCACTTAGGTTACTGAGGCAGTAAGGGTAAGAAAAACATTAAATAGAAATGAAACGAGTAAAACTCGGTTTTTTACTGGTTATTTTGTTATCTAATAACTTTTGGTTTTGCGATTGGATGAATGCATGATGTTCAGTAAACATTTACTGTTGCTTTTAGGGAGTCAGTAAAGGTGTGGTTGCCGAAAAGATCTTCACAACCATGGCTGAGAGTGGAAAGCAGGCTGATTTTGTTCTCTGCATTGGTGACGACAGATCTGATGAGGATATGTTTGAGGTCATCAGTAGTGCGATTTCCAGTGGTGTTCTCTCCCCGAATACATCGGTTTTTGCCTGCACAGTTGGTCAGAAACCTAGCAAAGCCAAGTATTATTTGGATGACCCAGCTGAGGTTGTAAACATGCTCGAATCTCTTGCAGAAGTTTCAGATCCTGAACCCTCCTCAGATACCAGATCAGAACGCTCCCTTTGAAATATCCTCCATGGATTTATATAAAATTTTGTGCTTGTTATTCTTTCAGCCAGTTGGGAAGAATGGCCATGCCTGTCCGATGAAAAGTGGCATTCCAGGGCGTAGTGTCTGATCATTTGGCCGTTGGCGGCATAGATATTGGAAACTTTCTTCACATGAAGTTTGAAAAGGAAGTGTTAAAACTCATGGAAAAGATGAGGCTGAAAATAAAAGCATGAGAAATGTTACCAAGCTTTCCTTTGTGACAATTGCAGTACAGCCAGAAAGGATCAAACTCCTCCAGCTGATGGAACAGGTCTCAACTGATTGAAAGTCATCCCGTTGAGAACTACTTTGAATTTTTAACGAGTCAAAACGAGTTATTTGATATTCGACTCGAAAATACACAAGCAACTCAAAAAAAAATATTATTTCTTTTTAAAAAATTAAATTATTAATAATATTAATATTCATGTATTGATTTTTTTTAAAAATACAATATAATTATTATGTACTCGACACTTTTTCGAGTTTCAACTCATGATTTAGACTTTCGGATTCAAGTAGAGTTTGAAAATTTAAAGTTCGTGAATTTTTGAATTGAATCAAACTTTATTTTATAATTTTTGAATCGAATCAAGCTAAACAATACAGACTTATTTAGAGCATTTTAACATCCTCTTGCTCTTTGGGGTATTGGTTCAGAAACTGGTGCTACAAGCTACTGTTAATATTAATCCACCGACAATAACGACGCCATATCCCACGCTCCGATGTCTTTTCCATAACATGGGAGATAATTGCACTTTCGAAAGTGGAAAACCCCACAAACACCCACTTGAAAATAGCACTCCGGTCCTTCACCCTAGCGGTGCGTGTGACCAAAAATAGCACTCCGTTGATTTCACCCGATAAAAGTGATTCGTCACTCACATTTTCCAAGTACACCACGGAGAAACCACAACCTTTTTTCACCTGAAAGATGGAAACTTGTTCCTGCATTGAGAATCCCAAGCAATGCAAGAGCCAAAACCGCCTAGACATCTCTGCAAAAGCTGTGAAAAAGGCTGTATCTGGGAACCCACTAGAGGTTACTACCTTCCTTTGGTTCAAGTTGCCCAAAAATGAGCACTCCATTTTGGAATGGACGAGGTGGAGGTACTTGGTTCTGATAAATTTAGCAAAACAAGAGTTTGGGTTTTTAGCTAAAAATGATTTTGGGACAGCAGATTTCAGGTTCTTGAATGCGTTGAAATACTGTTCCGAGTCGAGCCGTTTTGTGAGGGAATCTTCTGTGAGCCCAAAATCGTGGGAGTTGAAGCCTTCCGACATCGTTTTACACACGAAAGATTCAAATGCAAAGCACCTATGGCTTTCTTTTGCGAAAACAGCTCCAGGTTCAATGGTTTCAGCGGCCGCAACGACATCCCATTTTGCCAACTCCATTTCCCTGACCATCAACTTCACAAAACTGCGAGCAGATCTCAAAGAAAAGTGTAAAACTTGCAGAAAATGACTCGGGTTCAAAGTCGCGATCTGGACATCATCAAACATCGACAAAGGCTCACTGGCGTTTAGCTTCTTTACCAAGGACTTGTTGAAGACAGTGCAATCTTGAAGCTGCTTGTGAAGTAAAGCAATGTCTGAATCTTTTTCTTCAACATGGGATTTCAGATTCTTGATCGTGATCTCGTAAGTCCGCGTCAAGCTTTGTTGTTCTTGAATCTCAGCAAGCATCAAAGTGACCTGAGGTGAAAGATCAAGCTCTTTCTTCAAGAACTTGCGCTTTAGCTCCGAAAGAGCTCGTAGCTCTTCCACAAGAGCTTGGTCAGAAGCCTGGATAGCTGTTGTAAGGGTGTTGAGCCATTTGAAGCTAGGCGTAAGCAGCTTTGATATAAGTAACACTGGCGAAAATCTTGGCAAGCAGCGCTTCCGACACAGCTTTTTGCCTAACCTTGGAGCAGTCCCCTTGTTGGGAAGAAGCTTTGCGGTGTGGGAGTTTGTGTTGGGAAGTAGTGAGAACACAGATCCCAACCCCATTGCTGGAAGCAATTTTTCTAGCGGTTCTTAGGTTGATTACTTTCTGGAAAGTTCTTGCTAGCCTGTTCTTGTTATTGCTGTTTCTTAAAGCTGATTTGGGTTTGATCGTTTCCATTGTGGAGAGATGAAGTTAGAACTTAGAAGGAACTAAGCATGAAAGTGATCAGATTTTTTTTGTTACTGTGACAGAGAAAAGGAAATCAGGGAAAAGAAAGTTAATATGATAGGTTTGGAAAGCAACAAAAGAAGACAGCCTTCAGTATTTGACTGGACTTAAAGACGGTGGTGGTGGTGGGATTCAAAACAAGGACAAAAGTGGGATAATAATAATAATAATAATAATAATAATAATAATAATAGGTCTTATTTTTATCACTCTTTAAATATATATTTACAAGATATTTAAACACTTCAAAAAATATGTATATAAATAATATGATTAAAATTTAGACTTATTAATTTTAAACTGCTAAAGAAAATTTTGAACTTATCAAATCTATATTCATACGATAATAAAAAAAGTAATTTTAAATATTTAAAAAATTATTAACTGTATAAAAAGTAGCCGTGAGGTCATGGCCGAAAGAAGATAGGCGACTACAATGTCCATAACTAGCCTTAAATTGTTGAAAACAGAACAGATTGTGTTGGCTCTTGTGAGTAATTATTTAATATATTATGATAAGATGAGAGAAGCCGTGAAGGTCGAGAAATATGAAAAAATCGATTATTATTATAGATATTATGGTTTAAATGAAAATGTGTTGTTTACAATTGTATCAACGATTGAAATTCACAATACTCTCTTATTAGGTTAAACTAAAATTCACGTATAATCTACGTTTCAACGACGCCGATTACAATTAGGGGACAAGACTTGAGACGCTACAGTGAATGTTTATAGCTTTGCACGATGAGAAATAATTAATGTTGCTTGTATGTTAGGCAGATCATACAAACAATCATCATTAATTTTTCATGGATAAAACATGGTCTTTAATAATCATTAAATCTACCACACACGCCTATTTATATATATATATATAGGCATGCAAATCGTTAAAACATTAAACTACTATCATTTTCAACCTTGCAATTCGCTCAAAATAAAAAAGGTTTCAACCTTGCAACTTTTCTAGACAAGGGCATGCGTGCGTTTAAATATTTATAGTGTTTTTTATCATATAATATATGTTGAATCCGAGTAGAAATAGTGTATATATGTTAGACTCAAATTTTGCTAATACGTAACATTTTATTTTATTTTTAAATTACAACACTACTTGGGGGGAAAGAAAAACACATAAGCTAGAATTTGGGGTTAAACAAGAAGCAATCATGTATGCATGAAATGTTAAAGAATTCAAGATGAAGAAAGTATAATGGGGGTAACACGAGCATGCATGATAATCAAGTGTATGAAAAGCAATATACACGTTTAGAGTAATTTGAGGTTTAATTTGAGTTTAACTTTAGGGTTTTGTTTTGGGGTCTGATGAATCGATTCAAACAAAATTGATGGTGCGATCCAGAAGTTCAAGCAGCGGCTCTTGCTTGTACTAATGCCACTAGTGGTGCAATAAACTTTTCAGCCTTGGCAAGCATAAACGTCTTGTCGTAAAATATGGAATACAACAGCAATGATATATAGTGGTGAAAACCGCTGCTTCTTCTCACTGTGAGAGGAGCCATTGGACGACAATTCATATCCCTTCAGTGGCCAAAAAATATCTGGAAAATTCATGTGATTGTAACTGTTACTCGAATCAAAACCTAAATTGTCCAGGTTGAGACAACATGTGTATTTGCTAAGCACCTTTGGCAGCCTGTTTCTTTGATGGGATGGGAGTCGATCTTTTTTGGGTAGCTAATACTAAAATAAAATAAAAGCCAAAAAGGGTTAGTAAAGCAGGAGATAATGTAATCCAACTAGAAACAAAAGTTAAGGGTTATCATTGCTTGGTGTAATTAACAAATCAGATCGTATCTGTAGAAGACTTTTGAAGAAATTAACTGGAATAATTCTAATTTAACTGCATACGCGCGTGCGCGTGTATGAAGAAATTGACGAAGGTAAAGTGTCTTGAGTTTGATGCGTTTCATATACTAACGATGGAATAAAAAGTTAATATTTGTATTATATATCATTATTTGATTAAAAAAATATATCAAGATCATGTCTTGTTAATGTCTGGGATGTTGATGCTTTTGTAAAGACAAAGAGCAACTTTTGTGGCTCAAAATCAGGCTAAATTCTCTTTCTTTCTTTTTGCATTAAACCACTTTAACAAAGTAATAATAAATAATAATACTATTATATAAAACCGTTGTATTTTAGTTATTTATTTATTAATAATGTCATGACTTGTTTGAAAATAAAAAGAAATTTAGGTTACAAAAGAGATACGGAAGGAAGGCAACATCGCAAACATTCTCAGCTACATCATGGGCAGTGCCTGCTGATTAAAAAGGAATGCTTGAATGAAACTGAACTGTGTCCCTTTATTTTCAAGGAAGTGATGAGGATTTATTGAATTTATGAAGATAAAATCAAAATGAAAATGCTTTGATGGACATGTGGTAGGACTCTGTGGGACATGATACCAAACTCTGCAATTAGAAAGTCCTTGGGGTGATGCATGTATCCGAAAAATTGAGGGAGGGAAGACTACGGTGGTTTGGGCATGTCCTTAGGCGACAACCGTCAGATGCGGTCAGAAGGGTAGAGTCGATTATAGTCGACGGTGCCAGAAGGAGAGGACAACCAAGGAGGAAGTGGGTAGACTGTTTGAGATCTGATTTGAAGGAATTAACTCTTACCGAGAACATGACCTCTAATAGGAAAGTATGGAGACTCAAGACCAAGGTACCAGAGTAGTGTATCATCTCTGTCTTTTTTTTAATGCATTTATAGTAATCTCCATGACTTCTACTTTTTATATGTTTATGTCATTGGAATTTATGAAGGTTTAGAACTAGGATAACGGAATAGTGTTGTCTTAGTTTAAGATTTAACCCATTTTGACTTTATTTCTTCTTGTAGCTTGTTATCGCTGACTTCTGTGTATCATTCTCTTAATGTTTCCTCTTTTTAAATTTAACCAGAACTTTCGTTTCTGTTTATAAGCAGAGATTTTTACACAGGGATTACTTCTAATTACAGACGCGCATATGAAGACTGCATATGAAGACTGTTCAACTGTGTATTTATTGATTTATTTATGCATACATTATATTTTATCTTTATTTTTAATTATCTTACTACCGGAGGTCTTCCACGAAAGCTGCTCTCAATCTGACGTTGGGGACATCCTATTACCTCACCTCCCCTTACCCCATTGCATATGGGAATAAGATTTTGTTATTGTTGTTGAAAATCAAAATGAAATGATTAACAAAACTTGCTTAGACAATTAAACCCTAGTAGGGTTTAGAAGGCTAGAGGCTGGGGGCAGGTAGCATGTTCATATTCAAGAGTGATTCATTAGATCGAGAAAACAATCTTTTACAACAATTTTCTATCCCCATGGGATGTTACCAGAACCTGGAACCTACTTTTATATCTTTTGATTTCAAATTCGATCAACATTTCCATGACAAAAAAAAACAATATTTTACCGCAATTTTCTATCTCCACGGGATGTTACCAAAACCTGAAACCTAATTGTATTTTTTGAATTAAAACTCGAGCATCAACATTTCCATGACTAAAAAAGCTTCATAGTCCAAAGAAGCCCAGTTCACTGGCTCTCTCCTTCTCAAAGGTTTCAAAATATTGATATATGATTGTCACGGCAAGCAATATTCCAGTACCCGAACCGATTGCTCCCATGAAGTCGGCTAGGACAGTTAATGCGCCAATGCACATTCCGCCAAATGCAGCTGCAGTCGGTATGTATCGGTTCAGCTCCTTCTGCAGATTTGAATCTCTATGTCCAGGCATCACCATTTGTTGTTCCTGCAAAGAAAACACAACATTGGGGAGTCAGAAATACACCCAGTAAAACATTTTAGGACCTTTAAAAACTCTCATTAAATTTGGTATCAAAGCACGAGAAATTTAATACACGTAAGAGGAAGCCAAACAATATTAAGCTAAACCAGCAATTGAATGTTTCCATATGGAAAAGTGAAAATGAAACCTATTGTAACACACCCTAACAGAAAAGGCAGACAAACAAACAGATGGATGAGAATGCAAAAGTTTATATAACTTGAAACTTTACCTTGAGCTGCTTAGCCACATCTCTGGCAGAAGAACCAGAAACTTCAATCCAAGTTTTTGAAAACAAGGCACATGCTGAAACCATGAACACAAGATAAAATAAAGCATGGAAGGGGTTTGCTGCCATGTCTGCCAAGCTGCAAGAATAATCAGAAAAACCAGGGATCAGCCCGTTTGAAGAAATAATAGCCCAAAAACGGAAATCAAGCATTCCAAATGTGTAGGGTACTGAACTGTGTTAAAGAGATTGAAGAGAAATAACTTCTAACCTTGCAGGTGCAGTAACATAGTATGCTAGACCACCAACAGGAATGAACTGACCGCCTGAATATTCAGATTCCTTCCACTTACCCAACAGGTTCACAAAGAAGTTACCACTGTACTTCCTGTACAGCAACTGCAGAAAAATAACTACAGTCATGGGAGTTCAATATTAAAAGTAAAATGAAGCCTTTTCTTATTAACCCTTGATACCTGGGAGATGAAATAAAGATTTGAAACAAGAGCAGACTGCAGGATGATAGGCATTTTTGAGGTGTAGAATAGCTTAATGGGATATGACCCTTGTTGTCCACGAGCATTCTTTGATCTTACGGGCAAAACAACACGAAAACCTTGGAAGTAGATGACAATAAGGAAGATCAATACTGTCGCTAACAAATTTGTAACATTTGGAAGGTTCTGCCGATAAAAAGCCTCACGAAGTGCTCGAACTTTGTCTGTTCTAGTTATCAGTAGATGGAACATAGCAATGACAGCACCTTCAAATTCAGCCCCCCGACCACTGTTGATAGTTGTAGGGCTGAATGCTTTCCAGATTATGTTTTCACTGCACAATTAAAATAGAATTTGAATGACCATGTGTTGGAATACATTGAGTGAGTCGAAAAAGGGAAAACAATGTGATAACATACCAGATATTGGTGGCAATGAAAAGGGAGATCCCAGAGCCCAAACCGTATCCCTTCTGGAGAAGTTCATCTAGGCAGATTATGATGATTCCAGCAAAGCAAAGTTGAATTATAATAAGAATGGCATTCCCCACACCAAGCTGACCAACACTGCCATACATGCCAGACAGTACATATGCCACTGCCTCACCAACAGCAATCAGGATGCCCAACAGCTTTTGAGCCCCATTTCTGAGAAACAATCATAGAAGCACAAAATCTTAGCATGCATGTAGAAATCATGAAGGACAGATTGTAAAAATACTGTCTGAGCAATCACAAGCAACTGCTTCATCAGCACTGCACAAGCCCAATAACATAAAAGTTGTAGGATATTACGAATTAAAAATTAGAAGTTTATCTACTCTATGGGGCAAAACGGAAGAAAAAAAGATCAACCTTTTCATTGGGGCTAAAAGGTGATTCCATCAAATAGAAAATAACCATGCTATAGATGAATGTGAGAAACACTTACAGGAGTGCTCCGGACACTGTTGTCCACCTCAATGATTTTTGAACCAGCCAGGAGTTGCATCACCAATCCAGATGTCACAATGGGGGTAATGCCAAGTTCCATAACAGTTCCACGGTTTGATGCAAGGATAACACGCATCCAATAGAAGGGATCGGCACCCGTTGTAGAGTGTATTCCGTAAAGTGGAAGCTGACTGCAAACCAAAAAGATGAAAAGGGAGACGACAGTGTAGGTGACCTTCTCTCTAAAAGCAATTTTCCTATCAGCGGTCTGAACCTCAGGCAGAAATGAAAGGAATGGTCTAACCAGATGCAGCACTCTGAACCCTCCTCCCATATTGATTATTCAGAACTGAATTACACCATTCATTCAGCAATAGATGTTTAGTTAAGGATCTTGCTACAAATATAATGCATTTAAGAATATAGGAAAATAAAAGACGAAGGAAGTGCAGATATTAGTGAGACCAGACCTCTCACTAATAATAAGAATCAATAAACAACCAATGCCCATGAATTAACTGAGAGAGTTGAAACATGCTCCTACGCTTCAGCAAATAATTAGAATACAAATATGCACGACTCCTTGCATAGTAAGTATTTGACTTGATAACAATCTCTGAATCGTTCATCCAATTCTTACAACTATAATAATTATTACTTAGGTCGGTGCAAGTACTGAAAAAACGTTTTCTATAGGCAGGTATTCCTATAAGCAAATCAATGAGAGACATGTAAGCAATAAATGAAAGAAACTTGAAATTTTATAGCCAGCTAAGCTATAAAGAACAAATTGTCATTCTCATTACATTATAACCTATTAACCAGCATTAACTCAAACAATTAATTTGACAGGCATTAGGCAAACATATTAATCCGACTTACCAGTCAGATACTACTGTCAACAATAATGATATAAAGTAAACTCAATTTATGTTATTCAGGCGATGAACGGTTACGATATTTTTAGAGATGATTCTTTTACAACAGCAAAAGTAAAATGGAAAACCAAAATAAACACACGCCTAAAGATATATCAATCAAAATACTAGCAGATCTACAACTAAGTTAAGCAAATACGGAAAATCAACATTTCAGAAAATAACATTGTATAATATTTTACACACGCAAATCTACATCCCGAATCATCTCGGCGAATCATTTTCAAGGAAAGGAACAGTCAATAAACTAACAGTAAATGGCGACAAAAAGAAAGATAGCAAATAGATATATAAAAAAAGGAATCGGACGCATACGGTGAGGATTGCGGGGCCGATCCGAGCAGATTGAAAATCAACAAGGGATCCGAGAAGAGTTCCTTTAGAAAAAATATTTTGGGATTTCAAATTGAAGATTTACTGTGCTGAGTTCCGACTTCTTTATAGCTCATGATTGGATTTGGACCTCAACTTACTTCTTTCGGCCTATCTACATCTGGACTCCGGGTTTTTATTTGAAAATTAAAGTTTTTTAATAGTTTTATTGTTGTTTAACTATATCATTATTTATTTATTTAACAGGTATATAAAAAATAACTATTAAAATAAAAATTTAAAATTTAAAAAGATCTTAATATATCTATTTTTTTAATATATTATTATTTGATAACGTGTATATTGTTTTTCTTAATAGAACACACCCACATTACATTGTTAATTATGACTCAAATGTTCAATCTAGATTAACTGGTAAACTTCTTCTCCGCGTTAAACCAAACAATGTATCTCGTGTAGATTTTCTTTAAACTCAACCAACTTTGAGAAACCTCTCTCAGTCTCAATTTATTTAAATTTATTTAAGATCTTTTTTTCTAATATACTTGGAAAAAAACATTCTGCTATCCCACTCGTAAAATTAAAAAATATATATGTAATAATAAAAGACGACAATAGAATTAATCGAGTTTTTATTCGATATTTCGATCCTAACTCAACCAGATATGATAAGCTAATGAGCTAATACATTTAATACTAACCTCTTTTTTTATTATTTTCACTCTGCTTATGCTGGGGTTTTCATAAAATTATTAACTTATTTATTTATTTTTAAAATAGTAATTTAATAATTATTTTAGTATATTTCATTATGAAAATTAAATTTACCATATTTGTTAACCAGTGCTTTATTTCGTATTCAACGTACACATAAAAAGACCTACCACCTGATGGGCTCTGAGCAAAGCACATCTCCAGTGCCTACAGGATACAGTATACCGTGTATGGACTTTTTTAGCATTCCCGTGTTTTAGAGACGTGAATCAAATGAACTGAAAATTATTCAGTATATATATGATTACGGATTTAGAATGTTACCCAAACAAATCAGAGATGATATTATATACATTTGGCAGCGTGTATTGTTAGAGGATGGATGAACCAAAAAACAAAACTTAGGTAATTTTGACACCACCTCCGAACTGCAGTCAACGTTGGCTCCAGTTTATGATTTCGCCCTCTCCCAAAACACAGTAGTATCTTTACAAAGTAAAAAAATACTGGGAAAAGTGGATGAAACTGCCACAATCATGGCCTCTGACTTGTCTAATGGAAGTAAGAAAGAACTGTATAATCACGTATCCTACTCCCTCTTCTCCTCGATCCAACTATCAACAAAAACATACAGACCTTTTTAATAAGGGAACTGCATCCAATGCCTTCCAACACTGGCATTGCTAGGCTCAAGCTGGCAGCTGCAGTTTTGCATTGTTTTTCCAACTGCCAATAAAAAAAATACTGCTTTCACGCATGCTTACTTTGTGAGTATATGCATCTTTTGAAAATGGGCAATTCACTACCTGATGAAGTAATAGTAGAAGAAATCTGCATACAATGCTGTTTGGACGATACCAGAGACGCAAGCTTAAAACCAACAAAATATTCACACAAGTCAGAATATCAATATGCAGAAATAAGAAAGCAACCGTGTAGGCGAGTAGCATTGCTCTTAGCCTCTCACCTATCCATCGACTAAAATGTTGTTCTGTGAAATAGCGATAGATCCAGTTCAGAATGTAGAAAGCACGATAAGCTCTGCAAATTCATATTTATTTGATTAATACAAGACATAGCTATTTGATGTAATGTATTTGCATGATCGAATTTAAAAGCGTCAAAGAGGTTAAGGTAAACACACAGAGGTAAAGGCAAAACGAAGCATAAGCTTGAGCAACTTTAAATGCATATCCAACTCAAAACATCTATGTACATGCATGGAATCTATTTCTTGTCTAATATGACATAGGAACAGTAAAATGTTCAATTACTGTAAACACATTATGTACATGCAACTAGAATGTTTAAGGTAATATGCCAGTGTCATTCAACAAGGTATGCAGAAATGAAAGTTAACAACATGGGAGGGGGAAGTAGATAGGTTCGGGATCACAGATTAAGGAACGAACATGCAATTAAAGAAACAGTAGCTTTAATTAGTTCTGAAAGTCCTATCAAATTTCATGGAAACAACTAGCTGAGCTTCATTATGATTCCTGTGTTTAAGTTTCTGAAAATCAGACAGGAGTATAAATATACAACACAACTGAAGAATCAATTTAACATCTAAATCAGTCCTGAATTCCAGAAGAACCCCTACAATAGACAGTGGGGCTGTTGATATAAGAAAGTTCTGAATGTGACCTTCTAATAGTTTCTCTCACATCGTTAATAAAAAATCATGAATCAGAAAGGAGATTTACAAGTATTTTCTACTCAATTGATGAAAGCTTCAAAGGGGAAAGCTGGAAAGGTACTAGTCAATTATAAGATTGAAAGCCCAGAACATAATATTTTTTTTATTTGTTGATTGATGTTGTTATTTGGTGTCTTGTGTTCTGGTGACATTAGAAGGATCAATGTCATTTGAATCAGCTAGCTGTTTATTGGGGGGGGGGGGAAGGGGGGAGGTTAAATCTGCTTTTTAGGCTTTAATTACATCTGATGTACCCCATTAATTATCGATAAATTACTTGCTTAGCAAAAAGACAAAGTTTTCTTGTACTGATAGTGTATGAATGAAAAACTAGACTTACCCTAAAAAGAAGACATATTGCCCAGTTAAATTATCCACATTTCCACTTCGTTGTAGCAAAACTAACTGGGGAAGAATGGCAAGAGCCTCCAAGTATATTGAAAATGCCCAGAAGATCTGCAATGAATAAATTAAGGAAAGGTAAACAAAACAAAACTTATCAGCAAAACTTGTTGCAGTTAGGAATTCATGAAGAACAGAGAAATTGCCTGGTATGATGAAGATATACCTATGAAGTTCATAGTTATAGGACAGGACAGGAGGAATCTTTTTGGGACAGAATATCCAGTAATTATCTCAGAAAGTGCAAAATCGACTTAGAAGCTAGCATCACAAGATAAACATTTACAGCCAAAGATGATGGGACATATAATATATGTGAATCGAACTAATGCAGCTTTTGAAGTTCAACTATTAAAATTAGTGGAAGAGGGTATGCAACCATGAGATGAGGCAAAAGAAAAGCATCAATATGCTTCCTTAAACTGTTAAAAAATGCCAAATGCCACATAACATGAAAGCTCCAATGCATGCACCCAAAGAAATTACTAATATGAATGGGTTCTTGTCCACAGTAAAGGTGATATTTCTACCAAGTTCCAAAGAACTACCAACAATGAAACACTTATGTTAAGTATTAACAGACAGCATCCATTCTCACTGATACCAGAAAAAAGGATGGTTGAGCTGTATAAGCAAATAATTCAACATATAAGAATGAAAGAGAGGAAGATCAAGCTAGTTCTCAGATTGACAGCTATAAGAGTAACATATCTTTCATGCCAAAACCAAACACTGCTGATTAAACCAAAGGTGCTCGTTTCACCATAACAAATAAAGGGACCCAGAACCAACAGAATGAAGAAAGAACAAATTTATCATGGTTTTATCTCCGCATTCAGCTCGTTTGCTTTATTTGCAGCTTCTACAATTATGTTTGCTTTGCTTGCAGCTTGTGTAATTACGACAAGATAAGTATCCTAATCAGGAACTAACTATAAAAAGATAGCATTACTGAATGGTAGTGTAAACTAGTACCAAATTCTCAATATTCACATTCATATAATAAAGCTCTCTAAAGCACTAAAGAAATCAACGAAGTCACCTCCTGAAATGTGAACTTCTCATGTATCAAAAGCGCCAAGATGAAGCTAGCCAATATGAGTAAGTAATGACGAAAGGTATCGAGGTCCTTGTCATAGGAACGCCTCACGATTCGGTGCATTCTCATACACCAAACAATGGCGAGAGAGCTGGCAATAAAGACCAGCTTCATGATGGTGTTGTACACAGAAATAAAATCCGTGAATAGATCCAAGTAGCGGGTCAAAAACACCAGCGCATATAGCTCTTGCGTCTTCAGCGAAACACCTAAAAATGAACATGCAAAATCAAATACCCGAGCACAGAAAATAGGATTCTCTGTATCTTTTATATTTTTCAATATATTGTTAATGAAACGAGTAGATATAAAATTAGTAAACAAGATTTGTTCAACAAAAAAAAACAATAACTCGATAAATTCAGTTAATAAGCGGCCAAAAGGTCAAAGTAAGAATAATAAAAAATTTAATTTCCGTTCGTTAGCGAATAAATTACAGGAGGAAAAAGAAAAACTAAAATTACACTAAAAAGAAGCTCGAATACTTAAAATTTTTACCAAATCAAATTTAGCGGTTTCTTGGGAACCAAACGGAAAATGGAGTAGCGGAAAAGTTACCTGAGCACGATTTGGTAGCGTAGATTTTGAGGAGAAGCACTAAGATGCTAATCAAATGGGTCATGTCACCTGCAAATCTGAAGATATTCATTTCGCAATTCGCTTTTCCTGTTCTTTCTACTCAAAACAAATTTGGAACCGATAATGGAGATGGAGAGAATTTAGGCTGATCGATCCCTAAATTTTTTTGAAATAAGGCAGAAATAATACGAGGCGATTGTCATTTTTTTCATAAAATAATGCAAAACAAATGACGTGGCGCTATATAGCTGTATCTGTCCTTTTTCGCTTTCACCGCGGAGACGGGGTGAGCGGGTTTTGTTCCCATGCAACGCGGTTTCATTGAAATCTTCATGAACCTTCTTTCCCTTTGCGTGGTATTGCCGTTTTATTGTTTTCATCTTCTTCTTTTCACGTGATCGCTACCTAATTATGTAAAAAATTTATGGTGTTACCTAATTCTTTAAGTATTCCTTTAAACACCGAAAATGAAGCAAATTTATCCCTCAACTTACAGAACTAACGTCAACCGAGCGAGTCTTATTATATGGTACCATAATTTTTTTTTGGATAAGCAAATTTTATTAATATCCAAAGTAGAAAGATACATCAAAACGTCCCAATTGGGTTAAAAATCAATTACAACAAAAATCATTCTATACCCCAATAATTACATAAATTTACATTAGCAAAGTCTGTTCTATTGATGCTTCTATCACTTAGTTTGATTCGAACATAGTCCTAGATGGTCTTGAGAACTTGATCAGTTGATCTTGTTTCTCTTCTGAAGATTCGACGATTCCTTTCATCCCAGATCGAGTATATGTAAGCTGTCCAAGAAAGTTTCAGTATGGTGGATAGAAGAGATTTACCTTTCCATTCCTGCGAATCCCAACGAATCCTTGAATCCCAAGTATTATGGGTGTTATACATATTAGTGAGGCTCATGATAGAGTTCCATAGAGAGGTAGAAAAAGAGCAATCAACGAACAAGTAATTTCTTGTTTCAGGCGATTCATGACATAGGATACATAAATCATCTAAAAAAAATATCAATTCTAAATAGTCTGTCCCTAGTTGGAAGACGATCTAGAATAGCCATCCAAGAAATAATACTCAATTTCGGAATGTGTAGAGGAAACCAAATAACTTTGTGACACGATACCTTTGCTTTATGGATTCTGATTTCCTCCCATAAGTTTCTTGTCTTCGAAATTCCAGTGCGTAGAATAGGAAATGCTTCGCTTCAGAGTTTAATAAGTTTCCTGAGCACCAGCTATAAGAATATCTTTCATTTATATCATTGAAGTTATTGCATTTAATCACATAGTAATGAATCCAAGCGACCCACAAGGATCCTATTCCTGCAAGAATTTTTCGGATGAGTTGAACCATGCAGGTTTTATTCCAAGTTTTGAGATTTTTTAAGCCAAGACCGCCTTCGGATTTGGGGCTGCATAAATTCTCCCAACTGATTCTAGCTCTTGTAGCAGCCTTGCCTGATCCTTTCCAAAAGAATCTAGAACAGAGTTGGTCCAATCGGTTAAGGATTTTCTGCGGGAGTAAAAACTGCCTGCTCCAGTAGTTAACGACATTGTGTATGACAGTTTTAATAAGCTCAAGTCTACCTGCATAACTCAATAATTTCCCAGACCAATTATGAAGCCCTTGTTTGATATTTTCAATAAGAGACAGACAATCTTTGGCAGTTAACTTTCTGGTAACAAGAGGAACACCAAGGTATATAACAGGTAGGAAACCTTGTTTGAATCCTGTAGCAGATTTGATGGTTTCCAGATTTCGAGATGAGATATCAGCAGAAAATAATTCTGTCTTGCAAACGTTTAGCTTTAAACCAGACAGATCATAAAAGTGATTAAGGACAGTCATGACACCAACAATTGACTCAAGATTTCATTTGCAAAAAATTAGAAGATCATCTGCAAAAGATAAGTGAGTAATGCCAATTTTTTTGCACTTTGGGTGGTAACCGAATATTCCTCTGGTAGCAGCTATGTTAAGTAACTTAGAAAGAATATTCATTGCAAGAACAAATAGGATTGGTGATAAGGGGTCACATTGTCTTATGCCTCTTTGACCCTTAAAATAGCCTATCAGACTCCCATTAAAGGAGATGGAATACCTAGATTCCCTGAAACAAGCTTCAATCAACTTAATAAAAGTTATGGGCAGCCCTATTGCATGAAGAATAGAAGAAAGAAAGTCCCAATGAAGGGAATAAAAGGCTTTTCGGATGTCAATTTTTAGGGCACATCTAGGGGAAATGTTATTCCTACCATAACCTTTCACCAATTCTTAAGTGAGGAGAGTGTTGTCAATTATAGATCTACCTTTCACAAAAGCTGTTTGATTTAGGGATATAAGATCAGGTAGAAGAATATTCAATCTTTTGACAAGGATTTTAGTGACAGTTTTATACACCACAAAACAATAAGAAATAAGTCTATAGTTTTTTATTTTACTAGGGTTAAGAATTTTTAGAATCAAAGCTATTATTGTGGAATTGAAAGCAGGGCTTATGTGAGCCTCTTTAAAGAAATATTTAATAACATTGATAACGTCATCTCCTACCACGGTCCAGGACATTTTAAAAAATAAAGGGGTGTAACCATCAGGGCCAGGAGCTTTGTCGTTTCCTTGATTGAAGAAAGCCTCTTTAATCTCATCAGTAGTGACATTTTTAATAAGATCCGATTTAGTGTCACTAGGTAAGTTAACATGGAGCAGATTTTTCAAGTAGGAAAGATCAATATTTTGAACATTAGGATCTGTAGTACCTAATTGATGTTCGAAAAAAATCAATGATTTCAAAGGTGATAGCATCATAAGAATCAAGCCTTTTACCATCATTGTTAACAAGAACTCTGATGGTATCTCTCTTGTTTTTAGAAGCAATGCCAGAGTAGAAAAGTTTAGTGCATTTATCATCATCTTTAATCCACTGAATTTTGGATTTATGCTTAAGGAACATATGCTCAAAGTCCTCAAGATCCTTCAGCTCCTTTTGAGCAATCAATTATTTATCAATAGAGGTGGTACCTTTAAGAGTTTCAATTTGAATATGATCCAGCTCAGCCTTCTTTTGTTTAACCCTAGCGGATATGTTACTGAAATGATCGTGGTTTAGATTCTAAAAACAAGGTTTTAGACGTTTGAGCTTATTAAATAATTTCTGCATGGGGTTACCATGGGAAGGCTGATGCCAAGACTGTTGAACAACTTCAAGAAAGCTTGAGTGGGTAGACCAGAAGTTGAAAATTTTAAAAGGTTTGGGTTTGTTGATTTGAATCTGTTTGTTGACCTATGCAAGACCATACATTGATCTGAAGGCCCAGGGGCAGTGAATTCAACAAAAGAGTTATGAAAAGTGGTAGCCCAAAGAGAATTGATGAGAACTCTATCAAGTTTCCTTGCAAGGTAAGATTCTTTTTGTTTGTTGCTCCACGTGAAGGTAGGACCAAAAAACTGATGATCTTGTAAGGAAAGGTCTTGAATGACATTTTGAAAATCAATCATATCAGGAGAAATGTAAGGACCTAGGAGATCAGAGTTTTAACTTTCTTTGGAGTCAAGAAAAGTATTGAAGTCCCCTCCTAGGATCCAATGAGCCAAACTTATGGTCAATGTCTTTAAGAGTTTGCCAAAGAGTTCTACGAGTAGGACCAAAGTTGCTGCCATAGATAGCAGTAATGATGAAGTGAGAGTCATTATAAGAGCAGTTATGTAACACCCCAACCCGTACCCGACTTGAATACGGGTCCGAGATGTCACATTGACATTTTTCAAAACCTTTACTCTTGTAAAAGTACTGAACATTTGAATTTATATTAAGAAAATACAGTCAAATATTATTCAATTGTGTGTTGTATAAAAATTTGAGATAAAAACGTTTTTATGAACGGTGAAATACGATATGAACAGTAATACAGTAACCTGCTACAGTGATTTTTCGTAAATTGTACATAACACTCGTAAAAATTTAACAGTTCATTTCTTTGCATTTGTACTTATATATATATGTTTAAAAGATTACAAAACTCGATCAGAGCATAATACCTAATTTACCTACTTTAATTACATGCCAACCTATTTATCATAATAATACATACTGTGTAATTTACTTCTGATCTGGTCTTTGGGCAGAGATATGTTGTTACTTTGAACTTAGCTTTGATCCTTCTGCTTCTCAGTACCTACGTGTAAATCACTTACACGCTAAGTCATAGACTTAGTGAAGCAAAAAAAAAAACAGAATAACAATAATGCATTTTTCATAAATATAAACATTCAATATATGAATTCAATCGAGTCTCATATAATTCAGTATACATGATAACCTGAGATAATATAAGTACTTTTCATACCTTTTTATCGTATAAATACATATATCGAACATTCCTTTACATACCATGTAACACATATACTACTTCACAACAAAACATACATAGTAGCAAATCAATTTATTTATTTACTCTCTGTAAAGACCATGTATTAGCCCATGTATACTTTTGAGAACTCAAGGTATGTGAGTACATTGAGGTTGTGCACCACTATGCTGTCACAACAGCTCGATCAATGTCCCGAAGGACCAGTCCATAGATTCCGAAGAACCTAGGTAAACAGTCCATATGTCCCGAAGAACATAGGTAAACAGTCCATATGTCCCGAAGAACATAGGTAAACAGTCCATATGTCCCGAAGAACATAGGTAAACAGTCCATATGTCCCGAAGAACATAGGTAAACAGTCCATATGTCCCGAAGAACATAGGTAACCCTCGACCCTTGGCATGCCAACTATACCCCTAGCTCTCATATCACATAACATGGGCATTATCATTTATGACCGTTCACATTACTTATTCATATTCTTACTCTTATAAACACATATCGTTTCTTTTCAGTCACGTATTACATATACGTGTAATCCTTGATCTCATAATCACATGTTCCTTCTCTTCTATCACATACCAAATGTATGTGTAAACACATATCTAATATCATATGTTGCATTTTCATGTAAGCATGTAAATCATGTAACATATAAACATACATCCATTTCTATGTACTAATGCATACAGAGTAATCACATAACATTATATAAGTTACTTCTTACCATAGTAACTCTATCATTGACTCATCGCAAGCCAATGTTTGATCAATCACATAAGTACAATTTAAATTGCACTCACCT